GAAGAAGAGAGAGCGAGTTTGTTACTGTGTGCGTCCAAAACAAAAAATGAGAGGAAGTTTTGTTATCAAAAGAAAAAGAGAGAAAGTGAGGTTTTGTGTCGTTGAAACAAATCCATGAGAGAGGAAAAAAATTGAGTTTGTTACGCGGAGTCCTCTTGATGAGCCAGAAAGAGAGACTTTTCTAACTGACTTTTTTCCAAATGAGAGTCGTGACAATACATCCCCTGTAACTGAATTATGGTGGTCATCCATGTCAAAACCTGAGCGCGTGGAGTTCCAGCTTTTGCAAACTAAGATTTTGCTGTGCTATAATAACAAAAGAAGAAAAGTGAGAGAGAGGAGGTGATGGTCACGCGTTTTCTTGGGATAATTGGATAGTCATTGTTAAAAACTTGATTAGATGAGAGAGGGGATGGATAAACTTTTGTTATATTCCTTAAAAGAGTGAAGATTTTGTTCATGCATGCAACATGAATTATTGCATGGACATGTAGTAACAAAACGTTACTCCCTGCATGATATAGTACAACATCTCTTTCCTAAAAAATCCCGTTACTATGCATGGCCACATAACCGCCTTTGCTCTTGTATAACTTGAACTATAACATTCCTCGCGATGCAATCTTAGTATCACTGAAAAGAGGACACATCAAGGAACATTTTTTATGTTGGCCTCTCATCGAAACAACACTCGTAGCATGTCCTAAAATGACCCTGAAGTTACGAGATCATAACTAAATTAAATACTGGCAATTCTGTTATTACCGGCGATTATCCATCAACGCTCCAACCTCCACTTTATGGCTTAATATCTTGAAATATAGCATTCTTCAGGATGAGATCTCAACATCAAAGTTGAAGAGGGAATTTCTCTAAACAACTTTCATGTTAGAAGTTTCTTGAAATAACGCTCGAAACATACTCAAAAATAATCACGAAGTCATGGTATCCAAACTGTCCGCAGTGGAAGAAAACTCATCGTGCAGAAATCAAACCCATTACCATGATTTCAAAACCTCACAACTTTCCCAATAATGATCCAAATGCCGCAAACTTGACACCATTGGAAAGAGGACAAATGATAGAACAAGTTTATAGTTTGCCTCCAATTCAGACACATCCTTAATCATAGAGAAAAATGTCATAAATATACGCCTAGCAACTGTTCGACAAAATCACAGGTCTGGCAGGGCAGGTTCTTGCGTGATGTCATGTATCTTGTCTGCTTCAACCTTTCTACCTCGCGCTTCGATATATCTCTCCACAATGCATAAAACAAATCAAAGTTTAAACCCAAAATGAAGAATACGCAACCCACTCCAACTTTCATGTTCGACACTTTTCGAAACGAGAATTACATCCACGATAAAAACATCCTAAACATGCGCCTGCCACCCGCTCGATGAAATGCTGACCAGGCAAGGCAAGTCTTGGCAGCATTTTGCCTCTCAAGCCTTTAAAATGTAAGCATCATAATCTTCTCTACGAATCTCTAAATGGTACGATTCTTGAATCAAAATTGGAGAGGAGAATCTGATCTTAAACTTTCATGTTCGGAGATTTTGCGTTTGAGTATAAACGGGACCTTAAAAATAGCCATGAAGTTTACCACATTTTGGAAAATCTTTCTAAAAATTATTAGGAGCCCGTATTACTTAAAATGCGAGAAACTTCAAATTCGGCCGATTCTTTCGATTTTTCCCAACAACTCAACAAATTTTCTCACGTTTGGACTTTTATCGATAATCTTGACCAAAAACTCATTTAGTCTATCTTTGACTTTTGTTGACTTTTGGTCACACACAATTAAATCTATTTTTATTCAATCGACCCCGATTCTTCTGATAAAAATGTGGAGACCAACAGACCAAATACATATACTCTTAATGCAAATATCAAAATCACGAGACCACTTTAGACTTTACAAAATCAGTTAAATCATGCCATCGATCAAGAAAACTGATTGCATCGCAAAGATTAGAGATGTTGACCATAACTCCTGAAAACTAATCTAACCAGAATATCCTGAAGCAATTTGTACCCACACACCTCGTGACTTGAGATAATATTTAAGATGAAAAGACTTCAGATACGTGACCTTTGAAGATAAATATTCTTCTTCAAGGCAACATTCACTTATTCAGCCAAACCCTTGATTATATGTCCTCAAGTTAACGCAATGCAAATGATGAATATGATGGTGGAGCATAAGCCATTTCCCTTACAAGTAAGAGGGAAAATTTTAGGGTGCAACAGGGAGCAATTGACTGCTTGGGAATTCTGCCAAGAGAAAATTGGAAAATTCAAGTGTGTCAATCGATTGATCATATGCAATAATTGATTGTATGTTTACAATTTAAAAGGATAAATTGATTATCCATATGCAACAATCGATTGTTTGAGCCATTCTGTAAAACAAAATTTGAAAAATTGAAGAGGATCAATCGATTGATCCAGGAAAGCATTTGATTTCTTCTAGGGAATTTCCTAGAAATTCGTCCATCTTAAAGCATGCAATCAACTTTCTTAAATAAGCAATCAATTGTATGCATGAAGCTCATAAAAAACTCCATTGAAACCCAGATTTCCAGCGATGCAAAACATGTTTTATAAAGCCTTAACATCCAACAATAGGGTATAATACTCAAAACAAGCCAAGAATAACACAAGTAGTGTTTTTACCATTATCATACTAAGATTCATCATACATTAACCATTCAAGTAATGATCCTTAATGTCCTACAATTGTATCTACCATATTTGTATGAACACCCTAAGCATCAAACACATTTCATGGTAATTCATATGACATCATTCATTCACAAGCATAGATATTAGGCAACATGCAAGATCATGGCATTCATCCTAAACCCTCCCACGTGAAAATACTTAGAAGACTCTAATATTCCCCAAACATATTTCTAAACTAGAACCCCATCTTAATTTAAAAAAAACTAGGAGATTAGAGATGAGAATGTGATATGGGGTGCTTTAAACTGATCCTTGAGCTTCAATTTTCTAAAATCCAACTAGAGATTGTACATGAAAAAGAGGATTGAAGCTTGATTTATGATTTCTATCTCCTCTCTCTCTCTCTCTCTCTCTCTCTCTCTCTCTCTCTCTCTCTCTCTCTCTCTCTCTCTCTCTCTCTCTCTCTCTCTCTCTCTCTCCCTCTTACGCCCTATTCTCTCCTCCTTCTATGAGAGATAAAATTTTATCCTTCTTAAGAGAGAGAATGGAATGAAAAAATGAGGGAGTTCTATTCACTTGGGGTTTAAATAGGTTTTAGGGCAATTTCCATAATGCCCCTCCTATTAAACCTAATTACTAATATATGCCACCAACATAAATTAGGGTTTTAGAGATTGATTATGACTATACTAAAAGACTTAATCTCTCTTCTAACCATGATTTTTGGATAAGGTTATATTTTTTGGCTTAGGGTTTTACATTGTAATTCCAGGTGAAGCCTATCAAATGCTTCTCAATAGAGGATGTCTGCACAACCCCCTTAATCAATTAAGAGTCTTTTGATCTCCCAATTATCGCATCGCAAGGTGATGACCATGAAGTCTTCATTATGTAGGTGAATATTGGCTGCATCTTTCTCGAAAAAGACAATCTCAACCTCTAGGGCTTCTAGTTCGCTTGTCTCAAAGTCAGTGGACAACCCCTCAATGGCAAAGATTTGGAGAGCATACCTCTTTCGGGAGGAACTAGTATCTCTTCCTTTAGAGAATCCCTCTGTGATGGTATTGAGAGTATAGAGAACAAATTTTTCATCAACTCCCTTGTTCAACTCTTCTCCCTTCTTAGATGCAGGACTCCCTAAGGAATCTCACCCCTAAGAGTTAGATTTTTCCGATCCACAAGTGGAGCTGCCCATGACATATTTCTTCCATTTCCCTCCTGGATTAAAGAGATATGCCCTTCTTGAGTAAGTGGTAGTCCTCTGTTTGGCGCCCCTTGACTTTTTTGAACTTGCACTAACTGTACAATTCGGGCCCCATGACGCATGCCTTTGGAGATGGAGGTTGGGAGATGTTATGCATATGGAGGACCTCTTGTCATATTTTCTCCCGAAGAGTATTCTATGAAGCTTCCAATGGGTGACCAATAAAGTGTCCTCGTTGTTATCTTTGTCTTCTTCAATTTAACAAAAAATTTTGCACAAGAATGTTCTAATGAGTGACCAATAATATGACCAAAAAAATATAGTTAATGTAGTTTTTCATACTCAACATCTACGTTAAAAATATAATCACCTTTTTAAAACAAGAAGCAAATTGGGAAAGAATTCTAACATATAAAGATCTATCAAAGTTCAAGCATAATATCCAACACCTTTGCAATTAAAAAACGAATTTGTGATCTCTAATATTCAAGAAAAAACCGTGTATTCTAATATTGTACATTAGTATTTTTGATCAAATCCAACTCAATGTCTTTATCGAAGTGAATATGCAAAAGACATCATAAGACCAAGTGTCCACGACCCTACTATATTAAGATTCTAAATAGATAAAAAAAGAAGAAAAAAAATCTTACCAAAAATTTTATAATAGAATTGTTCATTATAATATACTTAAAATAATATTTAATTTTAATCTCTCTAATACTAATGTCAAAAGCACTGAATCAAATACTATACCTATTACATAAAAATCAACTAATAAACTAATAAAATATTTTAAATTTTCTTACTGAAAATCAACTAATAACATTATAATTTAATAATAATTTTATTTATTTATGGCTTAAATGCACTTTTAATCTCCCTATAATTATTTTTTTAATTTTTTAGTTCTTTTTTAAAAAAAAACCAGTTATTAGGCCCACCTATATCATTTTTGGTGAATTTTTGTTGGTCCCTGGCTATTTGCCTCATTTTTTAATGACATAACACTCCAATATGAAATCAGTCACTTGCCACATCATTTAAAAAATATAATTATTCATTTTTTATTTTTATTTTTATTTTTTATTTTTCCAGAAATAATTTATATAATTATAAGGAATATAATAACAATATCAAGGATCTTCTTCCCCCGATTATTGTTCACAATCTCAATAGCATTCGTCTCCTTCACCAACAAATCAATCTTCTCCTTCAACTCATCAATCACCTTCTCGGACTTAACCAACTTCTTCACATACAAATCTTTCTCAATTTCAAGCTCTTCAACCCTTCTTTCCTTCTCGATCTTCTCCTCCAACAAACTCCCAACATCCAACCTAATCTTCTCAACATTCCGCTTCTCGTTGTCGAGACTCAACATAAGGTTATTCACCTTCTCCTTCTGAATATCAACCTCATACTTATTCTCATCCCTCTCCTCAACAACCTTATCAAATTGAAACCTTATTCATGAAAATGGGCCATAGCAAAAACAAAAAACACAGCCTTTTCAATCTCCCAAGCAAAATTCTTCTCGGAGACTCTCGCTTTAGCGTCCATGGCGGCTTGATTTGAATGAAGTAACTATTGAATGTGTTTTCTGTGATTAGTAGTTTCTTTGAGAAGAAAGTTGTTAAGGTTCTTGAGATTTTGAATCTGAACAGAAGAGTCATCAATGGTGGCAGTGGTTGGTGGTGACGTTAATGTCTTGTGGTCGAGAGATTGAGATTGGGGATGGGCACCTTTCTCTTTGTCCATTTCTGAGTGTTTGGGAGCGATTGAAAATGGGGATTAGGATTTTTGTTTAATTCCAAGTTTTTAGGGTTTTTCTTTTTCTATGGAGTAGAATGAATGAATGTTGATGTGGTTTTTGGATTGGGAATAGAGATAAATTTGTATTGTGGTTTATGGAAGGGGAATATTGTTCACAGATTTGCAATGAAGAATGAGATTCTGGAAAAATAAAAAATAATAATACAAATTAAAAAATGAATAATTATATTTTTAAATGATGTGGCAAGTGACTGGTTTCATACTGGAGTGTCATAGTATTCCTTATTAAAGATTCCCCTTCGGCTGGTTTCTTTATCTTGAAGTCCACCTTCGGCTGGTACCCTTAAAATCCACCTTCGGCTGATACCTTTTATTAAGAGTCCCCTTCGGCTGGTCTCTTTTCATCTGTAAAGATTCGCCTTTGATCGGTGTTTTTTTCTTAGGAATCTACCTTCAGCATAGTATTCCTTGTTAAAGATTCTCCTTCGGCTGGTTTCTTTATCTTGAAGTCCACCTCTGACTGACATCCTTTAAATCCACCTTCGGCTGGTACCTTTAGTTAGGAGTCCCCTTCGACTAGTCTCTTCTCCTTTTAAGTTTGCCCTTGATCGGTATTCTTCCCCCCTAAATCCACCTTCGACTGGTACCCTTCATTAAGAGTCTCTCATGGTTGGTCTCTTTACTTTCGTATGTCTTCCCTCCACTTGACATGTATCTCCTTACACGCTTTCAAAACAAACTCTCAAAAACATTTGAAACATCTTTTCGAAAAGATACACACCTTTGTAAAACATTCGTGTAAAGAATTGTTACAAGGGTAGCCTAAGACAAGGCATCTTCTTCAAAAAAACATTTTCAAAAACACACACACACCATTTTCAAGCAATCGAAAATCAAGGCAAGTGATCTAAAAAACCAAGTAACTAAGAGCCCATGGATAAACCATGGATGAAAAGGGTGCTAATACCTTCCCTTTTCATAATCTACCCCCCGAACCCACGAAATATCTCAAAAGGTTTTTGCTGTGCTTTTTAACCTTTCCTTTAGGATAAAATAAAAAGTCGGTGGCGACTCTTGCTCAACCGAACAAGTGCGAATACAAACGCAAAACACTAGTCAGTTCTCCCACCGTATCACAGAACTGGCGACTCTGCTGGGGATAACACTTAAAAGTGGGGTTACCTTAGGGTTTAGATCAACTTTACTTTCTTACTTTGATTGACTTGATTGCTTTATCTTTTGGGTTCTTGTTTGGGTTTGTTGTAAATCCTACACCCGGATTTGGGGCACCTTTTTAGGTAAATAGCAAAAAACTGTGAGGGAACTGTGCGGGGTATACCGACATGGTTGAAGCAGTAAGCTATGTTAGTGTGAAATATTTGTGAGTACCGGTAACCCTTGAGTTCAGTCAAGGAGAGTACGGGGCCGCTGAGTGATATCGTGAAGCACTAACGAACTCTTAGAACCTTAATTGACCATCTTAGCCTTTTTAGGGGTAGTGAGATGACCGACTTTGGTGCAGTCCGAAGTTGGTAGATACTCGATGCTACACTCATTTGAGGGTTGTTTTCTTGGAATATTTTGGTCGCCAATAAGTGGCTAAACCGAAACAATGAACACAGAAAACAATCCAATGATATTGAGCTCCTTAGAACCGGTTTCTATTTTAGGACAGGATGAGCCAACTAACTTCAAGAGGGTACTTACCTAAGCCCCGTGCAAGCCTAAACCTAAGGACTTGTTTGCTTTGTGTGAATATGATTACCTGTATATACACTTACTTCCTTGTGCATACATGTACATAACATCATGACATCATACCATGGCATTTTCAAATAACCATCTCAAGGATCTCGAGGGTTCTTTTGATGCAGGGTTACGTTGAACCAGACGTCTACCAAGGGGGCAAGGGGTTTCTCCTCTAAACAAATGCCATCAAAGATCAAGTCCAACAACTTGAATCAGTGGCTATGACCCACTCGACATGGTGAGCTTGATTCTCGTGGAAAGACATCCACCGATACAAAGTTCTCCAAACAAAGATCAAGTACAACAACTTGAATCAGTGGCTATGACCCACTCGACATGGTGAGCTTGATTCTCGTGGAAAGACATCCACCGATACAAAGTTCTCCAAACAAAGATCAAGTACAACAACTTGAATCAGTGGCTATGACCCATTCGACATGGTGAGCTTGATTCTTGTGGAAAGACATCCATCGATACAAAGTTCTCCAAACAAAGATCAAGTACAACAACTTGAATCAGTGGCTATGACCCACTCGACATGGTGAGCTTGATTCTAGTGGAAAGACATCCACCGATGCGAAGATCTCCAATCAAAGATCAAAGTCCAACCTCTAACATTTTCTTGTGTTTACCCCAAGAGATCCTTGAAAGCATGCATCCACATATCATGCATTGCATTTTGACAGTATTTCCTTTTTCAGGTTTCCTTACTCTCATGTTGTTTATTTCAGTAAGAGATGGCTCTAGAAAGGTCTGTCAAAGACATCCAAGACCAGACTGCTCAGCTGCAGGAAATGTTCCTGAACTTGTCTCTGGGGCAAGAAGAAATGAAAGCTCTCCTCACAAAGGGCTTGGAGAATTCCAACAATGCCAGGAGTGATCAGCTTGCGGAGCTGCAGTTTGATTTGACAACATTGAGGACCCAAGTGATGGGGCAATTGGTGGGCCAGATGGCTCTCATCCAAGACCTATCTCAAAGACAAGAGGAACTCAGAGTTCTTGTCCGCCAACTGCTTCCAAACAACCAATTGGGGCAAACATCTGAGGTTGAAGAGCAAGTCACCGCTCAGCCTCCATCTACTCAAGAAGACAAGGGGAAAGCTCCTTCGCTTGCTTCAGGGTCACAAGCCCATCAACAACCTCGCCAGCGTCAACGGGGTATTCGGCGTAAGCAAGAAACGTCGGGAAGACAGTTCACGGAGACTGAAATACCATCATTCTTCATACTGAAGCGCCTGTTGGAGGTCAACCTGCTTACCCTAAGGGATCCTCCTCAGAAGCTCAATACCTCCTCTCCTAACTATCGTCCCGACGCATTTTGTGTTTACCACTCCTACAGCCCGGGACACGACACCAACGACCGTTGGGCCTTGAAGAACAAGATTCAAGATCTGATCGACATTGGAGTGCTGGAATTCATGCCAGACGGCGAGATGAAAATCTTCCGTTAAAGGGTTCTCCACCTGAAGTGACGAAGCTCAAGCTGAAAGACTTTTGCTTCTTTTTGAATTTTCAAAGTTGTAATTTCTTTTGTTGTCAAACAATTATCTGTTGATGTTAAACTCTGTTTTCATTAATGCATTGCATATGTTTGTCTTGAATTCATCCATTCGTTTCACTACTCTTATGCTTTTCTTTATGATATCTGACTCTTGATAAAAAGCTGCAAGCCTTTAGAGGGAGGATGACGAAACAATACCATGATCTTATACAGTATGCTTTTGAATAGACCTTGTTGATGATGTACATGCATTTCTTTCAATTCCCAAACACTGGAGTTATAAGGAAGTTAATCCCTAGTCAACCCCTTAGAGCCAAAGAAGTAGGAGTTTTCTGTTCTAAACAATCAAAACCTTTGATATAAACCTGGGGCAGGGTAGTATCTCAGTTAATTCAAAAGAAAATGCGCATTGAAGTCGCAAACTCTCAATTCGTAACACAACGAACGACGTCGAAAAAGAAAGCATTCCTTTGGAATCAAAAGACAAGGGTGGTTCCCTATCACATAGACAGTCAATCTCTCAAAATAGAAAAAGCCCACCGAGCCAAAACCTGTAAAGGAGGCTTAAGAAAGCTGGGGCATCCCGCTGACTGTAATCTCGAAAATAGGAACAGTCAGGCAAAAGTTAGGGATAACAAATCAAAATCAAAATAGTGAGGTCATTACAAAATCCTCAACAAACACGAAAAATGTTGAAAAAGAAAAAGGAGATGATGACTGTCTCCCAAATTCAACTGGTGAACCATCGCCCAAAAGTCGTTCCAAACTCAAGACAGAGTATGACGCACAATTAACTGAGCTTAGGGTTGAAGAACATCACGAAGAGCGGGTGGGTACAAATATACTTTGAGCCTTTATCCTTTGTTTCTTAAACCGTGAACCAGGCCACGTTACAACCCTTCAAAAGTCCTAATTGAAGCATGGGTTAGTTCGAAAGCATACTGTTACAAAAGGTATCCTGACTCCTGTAAGGCTTTGCTCTAAATCTTGTGTTGATCTGTCTTATAAAAAAAAAGTTTTCTGCTAAAAAACGCATTTTGCAAAACTTCGAGACAAACATAAACTTTGCATTACTTGAATATCACAGTCTGCATTTGGCTTTTTGTTTGACAGCAAAGAATTTCATACAACGAATGTTCGGAGTAACGAAAACTCTCTCAATGAGCAAAATCACTTCAAAAGGATAACACTTCCAACGACAAATCCCCTATCAGCAAGGGGCATGACATGTCACCATCCAATTAACCTGGGGCAGTCCAGTCAAGGTCCAAACAGATCTTTCAAAATCCAATTAACCTGGGGCAGTCCAGTCAAGGTCCAAACAGATCTTTCAAAATCCAATTAACCTGGGGCAGTCCAGTCAAGATTTCAAGAAATCTCTCAATATGCAGAGTAATCTGATTCAAGACTCCTTCATCACCACTTAGGGCATTCGAATGTCAGAAGTGTTCAACAAATCAACTATCACATTCCCAGACTCGATTCCTGTATCTAGCCAGGGCACGTCTGAAGAGTTTGAGGATTCGATTCCTGTATCCAGCCAGGGCATATCTGTTGACGACTATTTCCAGATTCGATTCTTGTATCCAGCCAGGGCATATCTGTTGACGACTATTTCCAGATTCGATTCCTGTATCCAGCCAGGGCATATCTGTTGACGACTATTTCCAGATTCGATTCCTGTATCTAGCCAGGGCATATCTGTTGACGACTATTTCCAAACTCGATTCCTGTA